TGTTTTTAATAAAGGAGCGATTGTTTAAGTACATGAGACTTACTGTTTTTTTTACCATGGTAACAAATTGAGTATTGGGAATCATGGAAGCTGCCTGGTATTGTGTATGGCCAACATGTGACATCCCTGTAACAATAAAGTCACTCCATTTGTATTTATTATTAGAATAAATACACAGAATTGGATTGATCGGCCCCATTGTCACTGATATTTAAGTCAGTATCAAACCAGTGTCAGTATTGGATCGGTGCATTCCTCTACAGTCCCTCAACAACTCAACAGTCCCTGAAGTTATCTAGACATTACCTGAAGAGTTGTACGTGCAAAAGCAAATGTCCAAATCAGTTAGAGCGGAGATTAAACAGATTTTACCCTGTTAGTTCCCTAAAGTCTGTGTAACGCCCGATGAGCCCATGTATGAACAGAGCAGGTCAGTGTCTGGAGAATTTGCAGCGAGCGAGTGGGTGTGTTGATGTTGCCTGAAGTGTAGCTGCTATGTAAGCCTTTCTGCTCCTATATATTGCTTACCACTCTTTTATTTATATTTCAGATCCATCCAAATACATGTAGTATTGCTATCAAAGCACAAAGAGTCACGATTAAGGATGAGTCCTCGTCCTCCTGTATGTTTCACCCGGTCGCCAACCCTCACCTAAACCATAAAGAGATGTTCCAGCAGGTGAGAACGTGTCTGACGTGGACTCCTGGTTATACACGTTAGATTCCCTAAACCTGGTAAAACTCTCCTTCAGGTAGGAGTACAATTCATTTCTACACCCTGAGGGAAGGCCAATGTCTTGATTTGGCCAATATTAATATCACTTCACTGCCTGTGTTCTCCAACAGGGAATCCTCTTAACCTTTCAGCAGTCCGCACACATCAAACCTGGATCAGCGCCAGAGCCACTAAAACCCTGATATAGACCAACCTGCAAGGTGTAATGCAGACCTCAGCTGTGCAGAACAAGCATGTTCACAACATCAAAACACCATCTCTCTCTTGTTCTTAAGATAATAATTCATTTGTTTCAAAAGCACATTCGACCTAGACTCATGAACATAGCTGTGTCTCTCACTCACTTTCCGATGTATCTTTGGGTTGTGTTTTTATAAATCACTGTCAATGTCACTTAGCCTTCTAGTCACAAACAAACGCTGACTATATTTGTACTGCAAATTGGAAATTTAAAGTCCCCTTGCTGTCACCTAGGCAGCCGCTTCACAGCTAAATGTCCCGTTTTCACAGACTCGAACGAATAACCATCCAACGCTCGCCACTGTGCAGAAGTGAATCTCTGAAATTATTTACCGACTCACCCGATCATTAGTGTGAATAATATACTTCAAACTTCCAGGCAGCGACACAGCTATCTCTAGAGAAGAGACACATGAAATTAGTGGCAAAAGAACATAACCTTGTTAAAAATAATGAGCTGAGATGCCGTAAAGACTAACAAAATATGTAGGAGCACTGCAGAGTGAGCATCAGTCTTCATCTGAGATGAGTATTTGAAGAGGACAGTGACACTTAAAAAGCCCATAATAACACTTAGTCTTTGGTGCAAAATGGGCCGTTTGAGCCACAACCCCGTCTGACTGCAGTTTTACAGGAAGAGGTTTTGAATGTGTGATTCTAAACTACGGCTCTCGGCTTTCTGTCAAGACTCTGCATTGACTCAGTATAAAAATGCAGCGTTTAGTGAAGCTGCCCATGCGAGAAATTTGTTAATTAACAGTGTGCCAGACTCAACAGTTTCTGCGGTGAATGGAACTCATATCTAAATTGTTACTTACAAACCTGTCAGAATGATTATGAGCTATTTTTCTGCTTTTCTGACTGACTGAACATTTCAGCAGTACAGTATAAAACCACTGAACACCTGCTACAGAGTGAGAAACATTATATAATAGACTAGCCACAAGGGTACACTTGGATCTGGGATGTAGAGCAAGTGGAGAACTGCTGAACATGAATGATGGGATGGCAGGTTGTTTGACCGGCTGCTGAAACACGGCTCACTGATGCTTCCTTTAATGACAGCACATACAATTTATGTTTATTAAAACTTTATATTAGGGCTAGGTAATAAATCAATCTCATCCCGCCTTATCTACCTCGGCTTCAGTTAATGATTTCCAAGTTTCCCAGAAATGTATACTCATAACTTTCCAGAGAGTAGGAGGTTTTCCTGCAAAGCGAGAACACTAGCACTTCTTCCACAAAGCACGCCTTCTGGCTACAAACTGGTGTTTTTTCTATTTTCTTCCTGTGTGACAATTGAGTGTTACAGCAATGTGACAAGTCTAGAAGAAACCTCTTTTTCTTACTGCAAAACTGACATCAGAATCAATGTACATACAGTTCAGCTAGACCTAGAAGATCTATCCAACTAGACACTGAAAATAATGTATTGGCCAGAATCATCCACTCTTTTGGAATAAGAGAAATAAAACACTAAAGAAATGCTGGGTACATTACCAGCAAATGTGATTTTCTCTGCTCTGCACATTTAGTCCACAGTTCAACAAACGAAGAGTATGCTGATGTGAAATTTGTCTCTCCTCAATTGTGAGACCAAAATACTCTGAACTGCTCTTTCGCCAAGCGAGCTGATGGAACGAAAGCACCGGGGAGCCAATAACATAAAGCAGCTGACCTAAACACAGCGAGGCACCATAACTCCATCCCAGGCTCCACTAGGCCGCTGGACGCCGTTAGGGCAAAATTATGTTCCTTAATTAAACTGTCTCACTATATTTTATGCAATTCTCTGGAGAGAAACACTCAACAGAAGATAATGCAAGTATATAGAGAAGCTAATACATATATTAACTTCTGTAATGATGCACAGTCACTGTATCTAAATAATGTATATAAAAATAATATTACACAGGCTCTACTTTGTGTTGAGCTGTTTACTTACAACACTTTACTCCCAATCTCTAACGTCGGGTTTATAGTACACTGTAAAGTACCAGCTTGAGCTTCTGAACAGGGAGTGATAGGATGTGAAGGCCCCAGTGGTGAGCTGGATGTCTGCAGAGAGCAGTGAGAGTCAGCCACAGCTGACAGGCTGCAGACGTGATTGGCAGAGTGCTGTAGTCATGAGGTCTGTGGGACACACAGGGGTCAGCATGTGGGGAAATAACCAGAAAGACACAGACACAGTAGCATTTCCCCATCTGAAGCTGTCAGGAGCAGACCTGAAAATGCCTGTGTCTCTGTAAAACTGCACCGCCGCTGTATCCCAGGATCACGCCTCCCCGACAGTCATCTTGGGTGTAATTATTATTTACGACTTGGACAGAGATTGGGTGACGTGATGTATTTGTAAGTGCTGGTACTGACAAGAGTGACATGAAAAAGTTAGTAATTATACAAACGTCTGCATTATAGCTGGGGAAGGAAAGATTAGCTCATAACTGTAATAACATAACTTTGGATTTTTGTGAATATATGACGGGTCACTGTAGATATTGCTTGAAGTTACACAGCCACATAAAAATAACTTTAATGAATTAATGTTTTAATGTCGCTAAGACATGTTTCACAGAAAGGGGACCATTAGTTGCCCTGTCAGTGTGGTGGATCATTTAGTCTGGGTTTAGATGGCAAGATAGTTTCCCCTCCCATGATAGTCTTGTACAGAGTCGCTGTGTACACTGACAGCAAGAATGCAACTGTGAAAGAAGAAGCATTAAATACTTACGTTTTAGTCATTAAACTGAAGATTACTAAATACAGTAGAGAACAAACACATCTTCAGCTGGGGAGGCACTAAGACTGGCTTCAAACCTACAAAGACACCAGTATGGTTAAAGAAATAAACCACCAGTATAAACTGCTCTTTGTTTCCAGAGGAAAGACACCGTGTGGCATCTGGTGGTGACAAAGGATTATACTGCTGTGATAAACACTGTGATTACTAAAACAGGCTAAATTAATGGACAGAGAATCTGCCCACGGATTAAATATGTCCATATGCCTGAAGCAGCGAAAATGCCACTTGCACACAATGAATCCTTTGTTAGAAACACTGTTAACAGAGGACATTGCTTTCATTCTCCCTTACTAACTCCACTACCTGGACTGCAGCTGTATAATGGTGTAATTATCCTCCAAGTGAGCGAGTAAAGTGGAAAATAAGACTGGTTGTTGTTACTGTTACTGTAATGTAAGCTGTTTTTTTTTTTTGCACATATGAACATCAGGAGTTAACTAAGGATATTTTTAATACAGTGTAGAGTGAAAAACATATATTATAAATATATAATATTATGCTAACTCATGTAACCAGCTAGTTAAACAACCTTTAACACAAAAATAAATCTGTACTGCTATGTCAACCTTTAAATAACCAGCTGACAATAAACAAACACCACATATTCTGTATTCCAGTTTCTCAATGATGAGGATTTATGTAAGCTTTCATCTTGTCTTTGTCTTAAACTGTATGTTAGAGCGAAACAAAGCAATGTAAAGCAGATAATGTTAACTTATAGTCTGTTAATGTCAGTTAGCTACCGAGAAGACGTTTAACGTTACAACAAAAGACCGACGACAAGTGAAGGAGGGAAGTAATAAGACTTATTGTTGAGCTATAATACGAGTCTCCTCATTGTGAGGACTTTTACACGAGGTAAACAATACAAGGCAACCATTGTGAGGTTATTATACCCCTGCAGTTACCGCTCGGGATGATTAATGAGGCAGATTTAAGAAGAAAAAAAAAAGACGTTAGGCTAACGTTTCTTATTCGAACGTCAAAACCGTTACAAAACGTTATTCAGCCGTTGCTGCGTATTGGATGTCAACCGTTAAATAGCCTTTAAATAGTTAGCAACTGACAACGTAAGCTAGCTAACGTCCCCGTAAATCACAGCAAGGGGTCAAACAGCATTGGGGCTAAAGTAGACACCGTTATAGCCCCGTTGTCACAACGTTACACGGCACACAGGGCAAATATCTTGGCGTTTACAACAAAGACGAACCGACTCACCATAGTAAGAGGTGGGGGTGTCCGTCTTTCTAGCCATGGCACTTGGTAGGACAGATGCAGCACCGTCGTCTTGGTTTCGGAGACCGCATATGAGAGTCGAGGTGAACCGCAGTTGTTTCAGTGCCTTTCAGCGGTCCCGTCGAGAGATAAACACGGGAACCTGGAGAGGTCTGGGGGTCTTGAGGATGCTTCGGCCACGCAGCTGAGCGTCAGTCGTGTTTACAGCGCGACGTCATTAATTATTCCAGAGCGGCCTTAAAGGGGCCGCAGTGCGCCGCGGAGCCGCTGCTGGCTGCCCCTCTTTCCCTTTGTGTTAGGATGGGATTTAAAGCGCAAACACGCGTCGTTTTGTGCAGTCTGTCAGCTCACATGACGAGGTGTATGGTTTTTATTTATTTTTTTGCAATCGATGTATAGGACAGAGGGGTTCCTACGCTGCCTGTGAGCGCAAGGCGAGTGGCGATTTGTTTTTGTTTTTTTGGTGGATTAATTATACAGACAATGTTGCAGGTAGTGTTTTTAGGGGGCATCTCTGTCCACGCACAGGCGCCCGGTGGAGAAACACTGACCTCAGCTGGATTTTCTGTGACATTGCAAATCTTCCATTTGAGTCTGTAGCTGTAATAAAAAAAGAGAGGATATCAAGTCTTTCAAGGCATGAGGTTCAGGTGCAAGGGAAGTCATCATGTGTCATTAATGTTAAACTCACAGGCAATCGTTTTTGTTTTTAATTTGAAACTCTAAAACAATATCCATTTGTTACTCAAGTCTGGTAAATCCAGATCATATGACTTGCATTCACACATTTGGGTAAAAATAACACTTCATATGAAGTTTATGTGAAGGTATTGCACACCCACACACGTCCTTCCGCTGATCCTGGCTGATTAGTTTGTGGTTGGGTGGAGCTGTGCTGCAATTACCACATTTCAAGAACTAATAACAAAGTTGTAACTTCACCCAGACAAACAAGTGCAGCAAAACTAGCAGTATAATAGAGATCAAGCACAGTCTTTACACGCCACATAGTCCTGAGAGGAGCTGGCAAAAATGAGTCAAAACAGGGTGATACACACACACTGAGTCCACCATAGTGATTATGACCAGGAAGTGGCAGCAGAGACTGGGAATCATGTACAGGGGATCCGAGAGCTGCAGGGTGAGATTTTTAGTAACAAAGCAAAACCAAGAAAGAAATTTGTTTTATCTGTGACGGCTGCAGCCAAAGGGGATTCACCCTGGATGTTACCTGAATAATAATTGCACATTGTCAAACATTATCCCTTTTTAATGACAGAATATCCAAAACATTAATATTTCATGAATTTAATGTAAGATTGGATTAGAAATGGGACAGGTAATTTGTAATACACACTGAAATCTAAAAGGTGATATCTCTCTTAGTGCACTGTGGATGAAAGTAATTAGAGCTCAGGTTGCCAAAAGCCAGTCATTATGGGATTGACTTCCCCTGGGACGGATCATATGGTGATGTGGCAGGATCACTGCCAGTAGCACAGGAATCAGTATTATTGCCAAATGCAATAGAGTAAATGTAGAATAATTTGTCTTGGTGGCACAGGTTTAGGCCAGTGGATTTTAACATTTTATGGCCTTAAACTGTTCCTACAGATCTAGATACCGGAGACCCACTGGTGTGCCTGATACAAAAGGTTAGGAAACAGCAGCACATCATAACAATAAAAAGAGGAAGAGACAAAAAAACAAACCAGCATACCAGTATACAGTTAAAGGATTGTTTCTTAGCCCTATGTTTTTTTGGTAACAGTTTATCGACGTCTGACACAGTTGGGTTTTGATGCTATAAATAGATGGATACCACAGCCAGATGGACCCTGGATTTTTATAGCTCAGTTGGAAACATACTGTTTGCTGTTGTGTGCATCCCTGCATTAGAAATTAAAAGAGCTGGTGTATTAGGTATTCATATGTGAGATTGAGAGAATTGTGGTACTTTACGTACAGATGTTCCCTTTTCAACTAATTTCCATTTTTTAATGAACATCTCTGCAGCATTATGTTATCACATGTTGCAAGGTCAAGCAAAGTATTTGTTCATTGTCAGGAGTGGAAAGGTTCACTAATCCTGGAGGCACTGAACAAGAACAATGACATTTTATAGGTGAATTGTGTTCCCCTCTTAGAATAACTGTATTTTCCGGAGTTGCCAGCCCATCTGCTTGTCATTCAGTGAAAATGATGGATGCCAACAGCTTGCTAATTACATAATCGAGCGGGTGCACAACAGATACAGTCACATTTTGTGCTGGTTTGGTTTGCAGCCTTTCTCCACTCTCAGAGACAAAAGGTAATTTATTTCTATGTGGCAGTTGTCCTTTTAGATAGTGAGTGAGTTTAATCAGAGGCAGAAGGAGATTCTCTCAACACAATCACCCTTTTTCTTTTTCATTCAGTGGTTACAATTGCTGTGGTTGCAATCAACCTCTTTGACTCCTAAAAAATTGAAATCCCCCAAGTCCCACCATAAAGGAAGTGATTCAGTAACACTGTACAGCAGTAGCATCACTGCACAAACAAGCAACAGAGATACAGAGTGCACCAGGTGATTGTGAGTCTTTTTTTCCATCAACTGGATAAACACAACAACTCTCGGAAACATATATCACACAACAGGAAATTGCATCTGTGATTGGTAGGGATGCCAGTCGATGAGTCAATGATGTGTCTGTAAGCAGAGACAATTTGCAAAGAGAATGAAAGTGTTTTATCCCTTGGACCTGAAAATCCAGGACATAAAGCTTGTATCTGTCTCCCACTGCTCTCTTTTTAACCCTGTGTCACAGCTTAAGTGCACAAAATTTGTCTGAACTGGAGAATACAAATAACATTTCACCACTGTTTTTTGCAGGTGCATTAGAGATTCATATTGGTATCAAAGTCATATTGATTGTTTATTAGGCTTATGTTACCCTATGGGTCTAGTTATTGGTCTCTGTTATTGTAATTTACATTGATTGTTGAAAATAAATTTCATTAAAACACAATATATTCATAGTACAAGAACCATACAATGGTCTAATTGCTCTTTTGGAGGAGTCATCTTTTGCTACTGAAAATTCAGGAGGAGTGGGGGTTCTTTAGTTGAATATGTTAGTGAAGTCTGCCTGACTTATTTATCTGACTTACGTTTGTGCAAGTTTTTGAACAAGTTAGAATCTATGGCCCTGACCATGGCTCTGAAATACCAGAAGCCTAACAGTGCTATAAATCCATGGCGCTGTCTGTGGTGCTGAAGTAGCAGACGGATTTGTAATTGAATCTTTTTCTCTCAGTCTTGTCAGTTTCTTCTTGGATCTATGATATTCTCTACTACTATAAATACTCAGTTCTATGCTATATTGTATCCTATATACTCTACAGAGTCGTATCACCTTCATGATCAAAGTGACAAGAAGCAATGTGTTGTCGCAGGAGGGCGAGAGGATAATAGAGACACACTGCTGCCTGTAAAGTTTCAGTAATATTTC